AGTGTAGCTGCCAAATACAAATTCTCACTGTACTTAAGTAAAGCTGTTTGCCTGAGTTTGCATGGCACGATTTGCCATGGTGCTGTTAGCCTTGGCTTCATGCAGGAGAAAACATCATCCCTGGAAGAGGAGGCTTTGAGGGGGCTCAGATACACAAGCCCTACAACAGTCTGTGCTGCTGCAGCTGCTCTGTGTAGGCAGCTTCAGGAATAAAAAGAAGCTGTAGATGAATCTCTTCCTAAAAAGACAGCCAAGGTCTTACTCCAACCCTGGGCTAAACCACCACCTCGGCACATGAACGCTGGACCAGTAAAACAAATGGGCTCCATTAAGTTGTGGTCTCCAGCAAGTTCCTGCATCAGCAAAGCTATTGTGGCTGTTCACACGAGCGTGCCTCGTGATGGCAGCAGCGAGGGGCTGTGACCCAGCTTCAGCCTCGGTGAGCAGGGGCAGGCGACCGTGCTTCATCTTGCAGTCAGGGTGAGCCCAGAGACAGCCCAGGTGGTGGAGACAACTCCAGTGATAGGCAGGAATTTGTCACGCTGTCCTATTGCCCAAGTCTTCTGGCCAGGGAAAGATAAGGGAGCATGGAAGACGGAGTTTGCGTAAAGCCCCTCTTCACCCTGCTTCCCAGTCTACTGTGAGGAAACATTAATTCAGAAGAATTGTCCTCCAGTGCTTCTTTAATTACTGATATTATTTGTACTGTGATAGCCTCCATGGCTATCACAGCCCAGCCACTCTTGTGCCCAGGAGAACACACATCACACATTTCAGAGACCATCAAGCACACATGGTAGAAAAAAGAAACCTCGTTCAGCAACTAGGGCCTGTCTTGGTAGGCACTACCCACACACACTGGCTAGGGAATAATGCAGCTCTCGTATGGTTTATAGCTTTATTAAAATATGCTAGAAAGGAGCTGCCTTTGGAAGAAAGCAAAAGAGAGACTAGTTCCCTTCTCAAAGCAAGAGCGCTGCCTGTAGTGAGGAGGGCAGTAAGGCCATCAGGCAGCATTCCTCAAAGGATGGGGTGGCTCCTGAATCCTTAAGTGGATTCTTCCAGACATTGTGAAATATTCCTACCTTGAAGGAAGATTAGTTTTCAATAGTCACAACACAGGCTTTTCCCTAAACACACTCATGAAAAGAGGAGTAGCTCTTTATTTGCTGGCATTGTCTCACTGTGTCCTTGTCTCACTGTGTCATGCCTTTTATTTAGATGGCAAGTTCTTTACAGCTTCATCTTCTTTGCATGATGTCACACACAAGGGGTTATTGTCCATGACTAACTGGGAGAGTAATACAAATAACAACATTTCGTGGCTGGGGGCAAACACAGGTTATCACTACTAAAAACTACAAACAAAACTGCAGTTAAAGCTCCCATGAACTCTAGCATATCTTACTATGATGGTAGTAAGTTCTAGTAAGACACAACAAAAATTGAGTGGGGAGGTGAGGGGCTGTGCATCATGGAAACCAAAGAGTACAAACTGTTGTTAACAGAGGCCAAAAGCTTTTTAGAGATCCTTAGGACAGACAAGAGAAGACGAATCCCCCAAAAGATGGTTCATTTGCCTTCTCTACCTTAAGGCAGTACAACCTTTCAAATCCTTGGCAAGCCATATTAACTAGGCCATAATCCTTCCCCCTCGGGCCTAACAAAACCCAATAAAGTTGTTATTGCCAAAAGGATGCTCGGCACACAGATGTGTTCAGCTATTAACAGGCTTTGCAACTATTTTCTGTCTAGTGAGATAAATAGTGAACAGAATGAGCATGCCTGGAGTTTGACCAGAAAGCTGATGAAAAGTAGAAAAAAGTTTTCTGGAAAGACAGAAAGAAGGTGGTGATCAAATGCTAGAATGAATCCTAGAGCAGGGATCTTCCTGTGCAAGCCTACACATTTCCAGTACTGACATGACCATGTGTCTTGTCTGAACTGCTTCACTCAGCCATGTTGTACAAGCACTAAGCTTGTACCTTGACGGTCTGTGGATACAAGGTGAATGCCAAAGTCATGGCAAAGGGTGGTATCTCCAATCTACTGCTCTAACTGGAGAAAAACCCAAAAGACCAGTGGTAAGACCCATAGGAATGGCTTGAACTTATGTCAGGAGAGGTTTAGGTTGGATATTAGAAAAGGTGATTCACCCAGAGGGTTGTTAGGAACTGAAGAGGCTCCCCACGGAAGTGGTAATAGCACCAAGCCTGACAGAGTTCAAGAAGCATTTGGACAATGCTCTCAGGCACGTGGTGTGACTCTTGGGGATGTCCTGTGCAAGGCCAGGAGTTGGACTCAATGATCTGTGTGGGTCCCTTCCAAGTCAGCATATTCTATGATTCTGTGATTCTATGACTCTCTGTTGGGCATGGTGAAGTTTGTATGCCTTCTTCTGTGCCCTTTTTTCAGTTTTATCAGTTTTTCTGAAAACTCATTAACTTGCCCTGGCCACCATTATGCTGGTTGCTTAATTGCTACTTGTGATGAAACCAGGCCACAGAGACCACAGTGGATTTGTTACCTCTCTAGGTTTTAACCTCTCTAGGTTAAAACTTTACTCCTGTGGTTTTCAAGACTGGGCAGAACTAAGTACCACTGGTGGTAAATCCTCCAGGACACCATTTAAGACTTCTATTGTAACAACATCAAATAAACTGAGCTGACTTCCTACAATATTGCTGTGTTGCAGCAACAAAGAGAAACTATTCAAAAGAACTAGAAAAAAATATGCTATACTGAAGAAATAGACTCAGAGCTTCAGGACTGGCCTTCAGTGACCCTCACAATTCATGGGCTTTTTCTGTTCCACTCTCCTCTTCCATATGGAGACTGCCTCCACAAGGGAAACTACCATACTGTTCATTCTCCACTGCCTCATTTCCCATGCAGCTTTTGCACTCTGGAGAGGACTAGTGGAAAGAAACTGCTATTAAATTTAGCTTCTACAGCTTCACATTTGCCTTATACAAGTATCAGTGCCTGCAGAAAGTGTGAGGTGCAGCACAGGGAAAGAAAGCACTGCTCAACGAACACGTGCAAACAAAATGCAGAAATCCAGAATGGACTTTGCCCACAACTGCTCCCTTCCCCCAGTTATTGCACTTGAAATGAATTAAGAGCAAAGAAAACCATAAAACATACATCGATGATGCAGTTTTTAACTGTGGTCTTTACTAAGAAAAGTAAAGAGCCACTTCCGTCACAGGGCTTCCATGGGCCTCCATTTCTGCACTTTGGGGGCGCCGGGTGTGATGCCTGCACAGAAATCCATGCAGCTGGATTTCATCTGGAGCCTCTGGCCAGCTGCTAGAAACAAACTTCAGAATTGAGAGCAGTTACAATTGCAATACTATTTGTACCATCTCCTTCGGTTCAAAACACATCACTATTACAGGCTATTTGTGGGCCCTCTTCCATGTTAGGCCCTTAAGACAGGCTTCACTGAAATTATGTTTTTTCCACTCTTTGGCTTTCATTTAGGAAAACTGAAAATCACTAAGAGCAGAATTACTGCCAACACTGACCTTTATTTTCACCCAAAGGCACAAATCAACTAGGTGTGACATACACTTTCATTCCCTTGTTCCGTATTTTCTTTCTTCTACCAAATATTTTAAGATAATGAAGATCAGCTCAGCACTGAGCCTGTGAAGAAACACACATGGGAGAGGAATTAGTCATAATGATTATAGTTTAGCATTATAGCAGTAGAAACATATATTGAAATGTTTCATTTTACAGTATTTTAAGTGCAACAAGTCATTTAACCACCAAAATGTTAGAAACCACCATGTGAGACTGAAGACCACCACCAGCAATATTTCAAAGCAACGCCAAGCCCACAGGGAACAATTTATAGAGGAGACTTTTTGGCATTCAAAGGAAAATAAAGCAGTGAACAAAGCAGCTCGGTATTTTAAATTCGTAAAAATAGTAGTTGACAGTATTGTTATGAAAACAAATGCAAGATGAAAGAGGCTGGGAAGAGGAGGCTGAGAGAGGGGAAACAACCCACAGGGCCAGCTGGTCTCTTGTGAAAGTATCTACTGAACTGCAATATTCTGGAATGGCTGGTAACACTATAAATGAAAAGGTAACTTTTACAAAAAGGTGACTGCATACATAACCTGGAGCTTCTCATAACTCCCTCATTAGTTGATGGATTCTTGAATAAGCTTTCTTTTGTTTTTACCAAACTGAGTAAAAACTATGTGGCCAAGCACAAAGCTGTACTGACTACTTCTGCTCAAAGCAGTGTGTGTAGGTCACTGTTTGACCTCAGGATGTAATGTTTCACACTAACATGAGCTACAGCACAGGAACCACTCTATGGCTTTAAACATCTTTGGTGGGGATAGGTCTGTAGGCACAATGCCAGATCCTGCTGGAAAAACTAGGTCTCGAGCCCCTCCAGCTGCAGCACAACACTTGAAGGAGATGGGTGTGATGAGTCACCCACTGCAGAACACAGCACTGCCTCTGGCAGGGAGCTGTGAGCGACGGCCATGGCAGAAATGCAGAGCTCAACAGCAGCTCTTACCTCAGACCCTCCTTCTCTGAGGACAAGGCACATATCAGAGTAGCCACAAAGCACCATGTACAACTGACAGGGACTTCAGTGAGGAGGGGGTTCCTACTCACCCCTACTCTTCCCACCCCAAATATTTAAAATGCCATAATAAAGACAATCTGCCTTAATGAGAAAAATCCCATGAACGTCCGTCCCTGGGCTGCTGACATGGCAGAACACTTCAGCAACGAGCAGCTGTACTGACTCACACATGAAGCTGACCTCACACTGGCTGTTCAGCCAAGCCAGTTCTCTAAATTCAATGCATCTGAGGAATTGGTGAAATTCAGTTTTTGTATAACAAGAAAAAAGATATTCGAGAAGATTTGGTCTGTGACATGTTCATACAGACAATCATGATTCCTGGTTCTCACACCACCTCTTAAAACCACACACATTCAGTAAGGAGAAATTTATTTCATTATTTCTGTTTTCAAATTTTTGGTACAAAGTTTATTTTCAGAAGTTCTCACATGATCCTTTCTACCAGCGTCTTTTAGGATTTTTCTATCTCTGATTTATTTTCTTTATCTGTTGAAGCAAAAGCAATAATTGCTACAGAAAGCAATAATGGCAATATTACAAATATTTTACAGCAGCATCCATTCGTTTCTTTGCCTCAAAAAAATAACAAAAATAAATCCAAAGACAAGATCCATTCGGCCACAAAGGCTTAGGTTTTTGATATCCAGAAGTATGCTGCGTTCCCATATATAAGTTGTACAAGTCCAGCACAACCTTCCAAGTTTGTGCAGAGCCTGATAAATAAGACACAGAAATATCAGTTACATTATACTGTTTCTAAGAACTTTTACTCTGTAAAATGTTTGGTCACTCAAAGCTATAAGCTTAATCACATATCAAAGAACACAGGCAATAAAGCCCATCTTACTAGAACATATAGTATTAGGCCAAACAAAATATAAGAGGACAAAATCTAGTGGTCACTGAAGCCTCTTCAAAAAAGGTCTAAAACAGAATGTTTCCATCATGTATCAGAATAAAAACGTACTGTATTAAAATTTGAATTATTTTTTTTTACAAGCTGTCTTTTAATCAGTCTTCTATTTACAGTGCAGAACTGCCAATTGCAGTAGTTTAACTTTGGCACAACACTAAGTTCCAATCCTTTTGAGTATTCAAGTCCTGTGTGTGTCCAAAAATTTTCTTGGTTTCGCGAAAGATTAGGCCCATTCACAGTTAACCAGTTATCTTGAAATTTTTCAAGAATTGTTTCCCCTTCACCACATTGGGCAGCTACAAAGGAAAGACATTGTAAGCTATTGCATCACTCAAAAGAAACTCTTCATTCTAAACAGTGACAGTATTGTTGCTTCCTTTAACATCACATACACCAGACAGATCACACAGACAGCTACATACTGGACACCTTTCTAAAAACCTTGCTGGTCGTTAGTGAATCATCTTCTTCATACTTCAAATACATAACAATGCATTAACTTAATTTCATTTCACATGTCAAACAGGACATTTAAATATATTGCAATATATTATAGAAAATTGCAAAGCGCCATCATTTCTGTAAACGAGACTGACACCTGTTAACTCTCCTGTGCACATGAAGAGCAGTACCTAGTGCCACATTTTCTATACAATATAAAGCCTTCCCAGGTAGGGCAACTCATTTTAGTGCATTTCTGTACAGACTGTAAGCACACATGCAGATAGCCAACTATGCAGGGTTGGAAATACTTTTGTAAGCTGAAACTTGGAGGGTGGGGGCAACATTCCAAAATCACAGTAGAGCTGTTGTGGTTCATTGTTTTGTAGCATAGATGAAGACTTGAATCTTCTGTTGTTCTAGCAGACTCTTTAGGGAGAGTTTCCTGATAGGTATCTAGTATTGAATAAGCATAAGGAAATACTTTCATCAACTGGGACACAAATATTATGTGTCCTAACACATTCTAAGTTATGCACAGTCCAATGTTCACATGGTAACCTCATCTCTAAAAATACTTGAGAAAACCCAAAGCATTTTTATGCCACAGTATTATAACCAAGGATCAGTTACATTACCCATCACTGTAGTGCCTACCTGCTCTAGAATAAAAAGAAAAAAAAAAAGGAAAAAAAAAGGCCTCACTTCCCAACAAGCATCAGGTTGGAAGCAGAGGTAAGTACCATTGCTAACCACAACACAAAGCTCAGTGCTGCAATCCAGAAAGAAGATCCATCTCGCCTCATGACAGGTGTCTGTAGTGTCAGCAGCTGCCTGCAAGCCACACGTAAGTCAGGGGAGCCGGGGAGCAGATCATCGACCGATGCCAGGCACCAGGATGAGCAGGTTTGCATTCCTTGGCTGTACTTGCCCCAATGCAAACATCAACATCCAATCAGAATCCCACCTTAATTCAAGAAAAGTGCTATGGGATCCTCAGTTATCACTCTATGTTTTACAATGTTGTATGAGTCAGTTTTGCAATGACTGTCCACTGAAAAAGTGCAGATGTTCTTCACCACAGAAAGAGAAAACTCCCCCAAGAGCTCCAACCATTAAACTTACAAATACTGGCTATAACCCACCTGTGCTTCAAAATCTCCCTTTTTAGAAGTGGGGAACAATGCAGAAATTTGATCTATTGTGTGTAAGTAGCTATTGAGGGGATTTTTCACTTTCTGTGGCAAGTTCCGTTTCAAAATATTTTCCTATGGAATACATCACCAAACCTCAGGTAACTTCACCTGTAAGTTTGTGTCATGCTGCTGGGTAAATCTACTTATCCTAGGATATCACAAGCTTAATGGAGAATACAGGTGTAACCCAGCACTGTTCAGTGTAGGGAACTGAGCCCTCTACTAGCTCTTTCCATCTCTAACTTACACAGTCATTCCAGGCATTATAAACAACTCCCAACAGTTTTACTGCTCTCCGGTCATTGATACTATCTTTCCATTACTACTGAATGCAAGCAAAAATATTTTCAAAGAAAAAAATAAATTAAATCAAAGAAAGTAGCTGTAGTTCATTGCACTCTATTTTTGTGCCTTTAGGTTAGGGCAGGGATATTTAACACTACAGAAGCTTAAAGATTATCTTCTCTCCTTGGGAGATATGAATATAGACAGATATGGGACTCAGGTGGAGGACGCAAATTGGTACTATCATATTTACAGAAGCAAATACTGATATCCAGCCTGAATACACAGTACTCCGTTAAGTGCAAAAGGGAAAATGCTCCCCACCTTAAACTACAGCCTCGTTACGCAGCAGCCAGAGACTGACTAGTTGTCAGAGTTACTGCTGTGCTCTCATTTCAGAGGAAAACAGAGGAGGAGAGTGTCTGCATCTTTGGGCTTTCTGGCCTACGGGGACTGCGTAAGGCCGTGAATCACTTTGTATGGGATCCAGAAATGCTTTCTCGGCTCTGTGGAGGAGAAGGGAGTACATTTTCCTGCCTCCAGACTTCGTTGGTGAACAAAAAAAAAATCAGCTTTTGTCCAAAGTCAGCAAATCATGCATCAGGAAATTATTTCATGTAATGTGTGGACATTGCATGAGTTTCCTTCCCAATAATCAAAGTTATACTCAGACACCATATTACATATAATGTAACGAAAAAAACACTTTCAAAATCATACTGGAAAAGGTTAAAAAAGGGAATGGTCTCATTTACTATAGTGTATTAGAGATAATACACTAAATTCTAATCATTAGGTAATAGATACCTTTTCCTCTCCTTTGCTTTCAAGCAAAGCAGATAATTCTATGTGCTAAAAATTAGTGATTGAAATAATTTACTCTTTCTGTCAGAACACTTCTTACAAGCCAGCACTGTTAGATCATTCAAACCTTCAGGGAGGAATAGGTCTCACTTTATTTTTACAACACTAATTCTGGGGTCATTGAGAGGCTGACACCAGGAAAACAGTACTGTTTAAGATGGAACCGTGCTCTTTCACTGCACTCAGAAGCAAGCACAAAACATGCCAGGAAGGAGGACAATACTGGGATGTCTCACCCAGTTGTGACACTGCTTGCTTTCTTTTAGCTCTTTTCCCTCTCCATTCTGGCTCAGGATTATCTGTATTCTCTCTTTAGCTGAATTCCAGAGACAGCACAAGTAGCATCATCAGAGCAGTACTCCTGGCAGAAACAGCACATGAAGAGGAAAGCACTAGCTTAGCTCTACAGGAACTCATGCTCACAACTGAATTCTGAAAAGAGTGGTCCCAACAAATACTGAGAAACCAGCCACTCAGACGTAAGATCTAAGCAATATCAGAGTTTCTTCATCTCACTGTCAATGACAATCACTGAAGCCTGGCTCATAATGAGCTCAAACCTAAGAGGTGAAACTCCACAGAAATACAGAAAACATACCACAGTTCATCTAGACACAGTCCTTTACCAGTCAGGAAAATCAACAAAAAGCCACATGGGCAGTCATCCCTGGACAGATGTATTTTCTTGCCCCCTCGCTTCCCACTGTCAATATAGTTCAGTCCAAGTGGCTTCCAAAACACCTTATAGGTGTGCATAAGCTACAAGAGGGAGCTGGGCTTGCAGGGGTGCACTGCTTATGAGCACAGCAGTGCTCAGATTCATAATAAATTAAGTCACTTGCTGATGTGCTAAGTTCAGGAAGTTTCCTGCACGTAACTAACAGAATGAGAAGGTGCCATATCCTTTCCACCCACCAGGCAATTTCTGTTTATCTCAAGTGACTGTATAGTGTGCCCTGGGCCCCCAGGTAAGGAGCACAGCAGCCTGAGGTTGTCTGAGATGAATCTGGGCTAAACCACTGCTACCAGTAGCCTCGAGTTCCTACCACAAATCAAGATACAACTGACCAGCATGCTGACCGCTCTTTCCAATGCTTCTCGTGTCAGGCCTGACCTGGGAGGCCTCTAGAAGGAGTTTCCCCCTCTCCCAGCATGCAGTGCAAATACACACATGCTGTAAACACGAAATAAACTGGTAATTAATGGACTCTGCCGGTTCAAACAAATAACAGTCAGACTGTCAGCAATAATGAATGCACACGACTTCTCTCTTCAGGCTGAACCCACCCAGATTCTCCTCATCCTTAGCACAAATGAAAGACTTAAAATTTGCAGGCAGCACAAAGGAAACATGGGGACTCTGCATCTCTCATTAGCTGATCCACAGCACATGGTTTAATTTAAATTTTATATTCTGCAAAGAGACGGTTTTGTCACTGGGCTGTAAATACTACTATAACCAGTGGAATACATGGAACTCTAATATTTACAACAACTGAAAATTTGGCCCGGTGTACATCAGCCACCGCCTCTGATCTCTTTACTGAAAGAAGACCTCCAATCCAACTATATTTAGTCTGATAAACAATGTATTTCCTCTTCCTGTGTTTTTGAGACCAGATGTGCTAAGGCCTACCATTGTAGCGGACAATTATTTCACAGAACAGTGTCAAAGTAGAAAATATCCCAGTTTAATCATGTAATTAACTTGGATCTCTATTTTGTCCCATTTTTAAAGAAGGTAAGATTCCCAGGTAACCTAAATGCAGTCTCTGCTAACAAAAATGGAGATATTTATTTGGACGCATCGCTTTGTTGTTGTTTGGGGGTTTGGTGGAGTTTTTTTGAAAGAAAATTAATTCTGGGTCAACCTTAAGGATTAAGGCAACTGCAGATTTTGCTTGCTAGAGGCATATTCCCAAGGATTTGTTTTAATGTTTTTGGAAACTTAAAAATAGCATCTATTTTCATTCCAGCTTTTTCCTTTCCTACTAAGCAAGCACAGATTCCTGACCCTGTATTCCCAGCAGAACTTGAAGCCAGTGTCTTATATCTGCTGGCATCTGCAACAGCCTCATCCATACCATTACCCACCAAACAAGAATCCCTCCCAACCAGATGCAGCAGTCAATGCTGAAAAGGCCAGATCCTGATCTCTCTTGCACCACCTCCCATCCAGAGTCATAAACACTCCATGAAACAGGATGACAACATAGGTTTGCTCCTCCCCCACCCCAATGGAGGGGATTCTTGGCTAGTCCTCTTTAGCACCACTGACTGCTCTGTGCCTCACCAACTCTAGTCTTGGAAGCCAGGGAATGGTTTTCATCATCACATTCATGACACACACCATAAGCTATTGCCTTTTTCTCTCCAGTAATCTGAAGCAGTCAGAAGAGCTCACCCCAGCAAATGACCTTCATACAGAACATCCTCCTGCAGCTCAGAGAGCTTGTTTAATCTGTAAGAAGGGCAGCTACAAGTGTTCAGAGAGGAAGGTGAGCCTGGGAGGTTAACAATATTTTTTGTCAGACATCATTCCCTTTCTTGCTTTGACTTGGGCTTCACCCACAATCAAGTATGAAAACCAGATGTAACACGGACTCCTCTGCTTCAGAAAATCATGACTGAAAGGGCTTTCTTGGTCTTTTCACAGTATGGGAGAAAGAATAATTCTAGAATAGGTTATTGGAGATGGGGAAACATTAGGACACATTTTCTCTACACTAATCTGTTCTCAGTCACCAGATGCAGAAGCCTACAGAGAAGATGCTGACAGATGTGCAAAAGGAGACTGCTAGTATCCTTTCCACTAGTGCCAATGTAAAAAGCAGACAATGCCGGTGGCAGCAGCACCAATTCATCATCATCTTTTGACATCTAAATATAAAGTAACTTATCCCTAAAACTGCAAGCTTGCAGTAGCAAGAACACAAGCTACTCTTCCTCAGAGTACCCGGTTCTCTAGGATGCCAAACATCTGCCTAAACTAACTTGTGTGAATTTGGCCCACTGCTTTTAAGTTGATAATTCAAATGTACTATGATGCAACTGTCTTGAGACCAAATGTGGGGGTTTTTTTCTATTTTAAATACACTTACTCAAGATGTAGATGTTTTGTATCAGATTAGACTACTACTGGAGTCCAGTTCAGGTAGCTCAAACCACCTCTAAAAATAAGTGCGATCACCCGAGCAGTGCTAAGAGCAATGAGCACAGTGGAGAGTTCAACAATTATGATAAATTACAGTTAAACCCGCACACAAATCACTCAACTCGGCTATCACTGAAGAACAACACTAGTGTGTTTATAATTCCTAAGCATCTAACAGCCATATAACTTCATTTTGTTTGAGAATTAAACACCATGTCATTGCCACAACTTACTTGAAAACCTTTCTTACTAACACCAAAAGATGCCTTTCATCTCTGTATCTGTGTACTCTTACAAACCCCTAAGCAACTGTGAATGACTTCTAGGCAGTTTCCAGCTCATGTTTACCTTAAAATTCAGTGTAAGATTTCAAGAAATTATTCTTTTTAGCTAGAAATATACATACTTCTCTTACCATTTCCAATGAAGGAAAGAATGCACAAGCTAAAAATGAGTGTTACTATCAACTGCATCAAGTCTGTCAGGCATTTAAATTAAACTGATGTAGGATACACTGATTAACTGTAACAAAAAGCATCTTCTAGCATCAGACTCATTCAGTTAGCTCATAATTATCAATAAGGAACATTTCAGTCCAAGTTCTGTAAACCCCAAACACTCTGAAGATAAGCAAAAGGTGCTGATGTCACCTTATTTTCTTAAAGCAATCAATCCTCACCCCTAGGTTCATTGATTCCTTTTGTCACACTTTTCCCCTTCTCTTTTTGTTTCAAACTCTTTCCTTAAGAAATAAACCCAGGCCTTGAAACCTTTAAGATGAAGTGATGTTTCCAAAAAGACATCTAAGGTTTTTGTATTTTCCTCCTTCATGAGCAGGCAAAATGTTCTCCTACATCAACAAAAAAAGGTGTCTGTGTTTTTTTGGAATCAAACAACATAAGGCAATTAAATACTGAGAAGCAGTCACATGTATGATGAACATGAACCTTCCCATCAGTGACGTGGAAAAGGAGCTGAACTTGATCTGATTTATAACCCCCTGTCCTAGGCTGGGCCTGAGGATGTTCATCTCTTGTAGCAACGAAGCAAGCAGTTGTTGCCTCCACAGGTAGCATCTTGCCCATGTTCTTGCAGGTGGAAGAAAGATGCTAAGCAGCTGCTTGCTAAACTGAAGGCCATGAAAAATCATTTGGCTCTTCACTGTAACATCAAACCTAATTCATAGGTTTTTGGCCCCCAAATCCCAAATTGTACATCAGTCTGTTTTTGAAAGTTTACGTTTAACATGTCTGGGGGGTTCCCAAGTATCACTATCGTCCGTTTCTTCCTCGTCTTCCTGATCGTCCAGCATTTCGTCTTCCTCCTCGTTCTCATCAAACAGCTCTATTCCAAGATCTAATCTTCTTTGCCTCTCTGCAAACCACTCTCTGACCTGCTCATATCCCATGTGAGATTTGGCTACCAGTTCATCGAGGTCTTGCTCATTAAGGAATTTGTGCTTCATATAGTAGTCCTTCAGGATTGCTGTTCCAGTTTTAAATTTTATGACAGACACACCTCTGTCCCAGCAATTTAACCTCTTGCTTCCCCGAGGCCTCCCCCGAGGCCTCCCTCTTCCCCTCCCTTTTGGTCTTCCTCTCCCTCTCCTCCTGGCAAAACCTTGGCCGTTCAGACTGTTTGCACTGGCGCTCTGGTAATAGTAATACCATTTCAATCCACCATTTTTCCAGGCATAGCGAGTATCTCCAAACCAACTCACAATTTCTGATCTTGGAAGCCCAGTTTCTTCTGCCAGCTTGTTGTATTCCTGTGGAGATGGCCACTGAGTACGGACAAAGGAACTTTTGAGCATGTGCAACTGCTCTGGTGATTTTTTGCCTACTTTGCTTGAAGTAGAACACCCTGATTTTGTTCCTGCTGCTCCATCTCCCACAGATGTTTCTCCAGCCTCTTCTTTTGAGCTGCCAGCATTGCTTTCATTCAAGTCAGCTCCCTCTTCCTTCAAGACATTTGATTTCCTCTTTTCTGTAAACCAGGCATCAATCTCTCTCCTAGTCAGTTTGGTTTGGGCTCTTAACCTATTCATCTCTTCATCAGTGAGGACAGGGTTATTCAGAAAACTTGCCTGAAGGACTTGCAGTTGTTCAGCAGTCTTCTCTTTGAATTTCTGTGGGGTGAAATCAGGAAAAGCACTCCATGATGACTTGCTCTGTGGAGTGACTCCTGTTGGGGACTCATTCATTTCATCACTTGAATCAATAATAATGGTGGCACATGAATCACTGTTGAGGTGAATCCCATGATTATTCTTTGAGTTTCTCTGATTGTAGCGTGTATCACTGAACCACTTTTTGATCTCTCCTTTAGTCAAGCCTGTTATTTTCATAAGTCTAACAATCTCTGAGTCTTGAGGAAACTGATTTTTAAGGTAGCTGACTTTCAATTCTGCCAGTTGTTCCTTAGTTTTTTTTGCTCGGATGCCAAAGGAGTCAGGATTCATCACTGTGGATTCATTTTTGATGGGCTGAGGGGCTGGAACAGCAGCTACTTGTTTGGTTTCTGCAATAGGCTGAGCACTGTGAATCTGACTCTTCTGTAGCTGTGTTTGGTTTGGGACTCCCGCTACAGTCAAAGCTATTGGGGCTGTTACCGGTAACGTATTTGCACCTGCAACTTGAGTGAGAACAAGTCCTGGCTGACCAACTATTTGGCATGTCTGTAAAATGGAAGGTAAACCATTGCTAGCGGCAGAAATGTGTGCTGGAATAACGGTAATTGTCTGTGGCACAGTATGCACTGTGCCATTAAATTGTTTCCTCCTTGCTTCCTCCACTTCCTCTGGCGTCCAGCTCACACCGTGCTTCAGACGCTGGGCAGAAAACCATATTTTAATCTGTTCCTCTGTGTACTTGGCTTGAGTGGAAAGAACAGTGATTTCCGACATGGTTGGATATGGGAATTTGTTGTAGGTGTTAAGCAAAAGAGGATTGTTATCCAAAGCAGTATTATAGGCTGGAATGCTATTTACAGGTATTAGGACTTTTGGAATCAGGTTTGAGTTCTGTGGAGCTGTAACAGCTGTTATAACCTGTGCCACCCCAGGCTGAAGCACTGGTGCCGGGGTCACCACTGCACCAGCCACATCTGCTGCACTGCAAACAACTGAATGGCTTGGTTTTGACTCAGAAACTGCTGGTGGGGGGGTTTCTACTACTTCTTCAGAGTTTGGCTCATTTTCAGTTCCCTTTTCTTCACCAGGAATGTCATCAACTACATTGTGGAAAACAGCGATACGTTTAGCCTCGGTTTTGTTTTTCATCATTTTCATGATAGGAGTTTTGCTAATTGAGATCCCTGATGACGGGACCTCAGAAGAGTCGGCCTGTCCAGCATTTTCTTCTCTAACAAAACTTCCATCAAAAGTGAGATCATTTACTGTTTGTTCAAAGATTGTCTGATTATTACGTTTTACCATGGTCAATTTAAAATTCTCCTCTCCAGGGTGGTGCTTCACATTATGTTCTGAGAGGGCATCATATCTTTTGGTAAGGAAATTACATTCTAAACAAACATAGGATGAATTTAATACTACGTTGGGATGTTCTGAATCCACATGAAAAGTAAACATATTGAGATCTGGAGTCTGAAAAGTACAGTATTTACACTCATAACCACCTTCTACTTTATTTGTATTTTTCTGATTGTCTGCATCCACATACTCATGAACATCCTCATCACTTGTTACACTCTCTGCTGTGGGGTTTTCTGCTGGCGTGAGCACAGGTTGTCCTTCCTCCAGGTCTGATACCATTTCCAGATCTGGGTCCTGCTCATTGGCTAAGACCATGCACGGTGTTGTTGATTTTCGTTTACTTGCCATGACTGTTACTGTGAAAATAATACCAGATACAGACTCAGCTTCAAGCTCTTCTTGATTGATAATAATAGTAATAATGGCTTTCGGTACTTTAAGTCAGTTCTTGTAAAGTCTCAACATTTATCTCATTAGCAGCTTTTCCTTTGTAGTGCAATCAGATTTAAAATAGATAGTTGAGGATGAGATGTTGAGACACGCTGTTTTAAAGTCCACATCCACCACCTGTAGCAAAGAAGAGACAGTGAAATTAGTTCAATTCAAAGAGTAACTTCTATTCTGCTACATATTATGGCTTAACGTTATTCAGTCCTTTGAGGTTCCATTGTTATCCCCTGAAACCAGCAGACCCTTTCCAAGAAGAGATAATCAAAGCTAAGAAAGGCAAAATCCAATCAGCTTATTACAGACTGAAATTTGTTTCAGTTCATGTAAACACAGTGAAAGAACATAAACAACACAATGGTATAAAACAGGTAACTTCCTGACTGTTTCCCTTTCTTCAGAAGCCTTTTTCTTGGCACAGTGCTGGGGTCACTCTTGCCTTCGGATGCTTTGCCTAACCTATTACAACCTCTCTCCACAGCTCTGTGAGCTGAAGTTCCTATCATTAAACTTGAGCCCACTATGACATCTCCACTACCAACTCTGTCATGTCCTTCATGTCAGAGGCTCTGAGGGGTCCCAGAAAAGGCAGGTTTAGAGTGTTTTATTATTGCATTATACATGCAAGCATGACCATGTGCAGGGCCTTTCTCCCACATCTGAAAACAGGCAAAACTATCTTTTTAAGGCACTCTGACAGACAACTATCCTTTCTTCCTAGCCTCCCAAATATCATTCTCCAATTGAAGACCAATCCCAAGCCAATAAAAGTTGATTGCTAGCACATGGCAATTAGCTAAAATCTGTTTCCATGCCTCTATGCATTAACGGAGAGATGACTGATTGTGTGAACGTACCAGAGAGAAAGAGCATTAAAGACTGATATGCCAAGCAGAAGCCAAACAAAATTATGTATTCTCTGCTTGGAATTCTTTGTGCATTTCTAAGAAAAACTGAAGTACCACCAAATAAAGCTGAGGTTTACAGAAATTCAAAGAATATATTCTTAAATTAGCATAGACTGGAGTGAATTTTATCCCACAGAGACCACAACTAGTCTGCTGGAAATGATGCACAAACTTCTGCAGAGGGTTATAAACTCTGTAATAGTTTTCTTATTGAATTAAAATCTGATACTGATTTCTCATACCAAAAATCCCATAGGCACAAGAACTTTGAGACAGTGGAACATCTTCTACTTCCCTAAGTGGGGGTATCCTCAAGTCCAAGAGGAATGCATCCCCAAGTAGCTGTTTCAGAAAGTTTAGAAAGGGAACAGCATGTAACAGGTTAAAAAATGAGGGCCATCTTTGCAAGACAAAGTCTTAAAGGAAAAAGAACAGTGCAAAAGGAAGAAAGGCAGTTACAAGAAATGGGAAGGGGAAAAGAAATTATTTTTCACTGTGTGATTATTCTTTTTTGATTATGGGAGGGCAGAATAGGAAGGAAGATCAATAATTCTTAGCTTCACATTTTTTCTTCAGGCAAAAGATAAAAGTTTTCATCCATACACACCACCAGAGCTGCTCATAAGCTCTGTTTTTGAAACTGGATGTCTCACCTCACTTCTTCAGAAATATCTTCCCCAAATGTTTCTGTCACCCTCTGCACTACTTCTGTGACTACATCCAAAGTGCACAGCCTCACATGATACACGTTTTATGCCAAGGATATGGTTAAATGGCATTGACACTGACAACACTCAATAAATCTTGGGTAATCATCATTCCAGTAGAAAGATACCCTTCTTCCACAAGTTAATAGTGGCAGTCTGCAAAACTGAGCACAGAAGTGCAAAAGCTATTTAATATATATACAAAATACATATTGCAGGCAATCTCATTTCTCTCAGCAGTGAGAGAACCATGAAGCAAACCTAAATGGATCCATTTGTCTCAGTGTCTTGAGGGCTGAGAGGTAGAGCATTATTAACCATGCTGCTTCTCTGTGGGGCTGGAGGGCTCTTGACAAAAGAAAGACAACTGCCAAGACCATGTTGAGCAATGCTCTGGGGGAAGAGCTGGGTGGTATTACCTAATCGTTCTGTGATCTTGAGTAAAATTTCAGAAATGCCAGAAATGCCCATTTTCAAAAGTGACTGCACAGCTAGTTTTGCTGACTGAAGTTGCATTTTGAAAAGGGACTGTGGTACTCTGCAGTGCCTCCTCCCAGGACAGCATGTAGGATCTACACACAAGGCAGCCTGAGTGAGCTCAGGGGCTTGCCAAGGGTCCTGCTCTGGGATGGCCCAGAGTGCAAGTGAAAGCAACATTTGACCTGTTGTGCAGTGTTGAGCCATGCTCAAGATAAGGCTGGAGATAAGGAATAAAATGGGAAACCTGTCCAAAAAAATCAATAAATGTTTTTCTCCAGTCCCCTCCTGTACCCAATGGCATTCACAGTGTCTGTAAGCCTACAGGTCCACATCCAATTACATCACCTGCAGCCTTTCAGCTAAATCTCTGTATCACATTTCCATTGTGGCTCAGTTTTGCTCACAGTTCATAGGCAAATTATCCTATCCCTCTACTGTTTACCAACACAGTAACATGTTTCTTTGATGCAAGCGGGTCTCAGAAAAAGAAAGCTGCATCTGTGCTCTTCTGATTACGCTATGTAAGATGAGGGTTTTTTTTAAAAGGATGTTGTGATGTCAAAACCCTGTTTAATTCATGGCTATGAAGTGATACAACAGCATTCACTAAAATCTCAACAAAGTGAGATGCTTGCAACCCTTCCCAGCCTTCCTTCCTCTACAGACTTTACAGAAACCTCCATTCCTTTCTCCCTGGTGCTTATGTGATTATTCCACCTGTAGCACCTTGCCTTACATGTTCTCTCAGTTAAGCAGGGGATTATGAAAACTCACACTTGAGTAGTTTATCAAACCAATTATGCATCACCCTTGGAACCTGTAGTTCCTCTAAAACACCCCTCCTGTACTGCTTACAGGAATGTCACTTGGGACCTTGCCATGTGTCTTGATTTCAGTAAGGTTTGCAACATTCCATTCCAGTAGGCCAATGACTCCAAAAAAAAAATTAAATCAGATTGGCTTGACATAATGGGGTTTTGACAAATCCACCTTTGTAAGAACCTTGTTACAATTCTTTAGGTTCTTACAGACTGTTTTTTAATAAATTCTTCCTGTGTTGGCCTGGGAATGAAGACCCCGTTAACCAATCGGTGATGCACTATGCGCTCTCCTCCTCTACTCAAGTGTCTCCCTTGTTTAAGAGTAGGTACTATGATACTATGCTTGCCTGCCTCGAGTCTGTTAAGACCTCCTCCTCTTTTCCATGAATTCCTGAAGATCATCACTAATGGTTCAGAGACTGTGTTCTCTTGTCCCTTACCTATATTAGGGTCCAAGATGTGATTTAATATTCTTAAAGATTTTCTATTTTGATCTGGACTGTATTTTTATCCCTCACTGTTAATATTGACATTATATTGTGCAATTTGGTTTGTAATGAAATATTAAGCAAGGTGTTTGCTTTATGGCAAAAGCAGAATTTTTTTAATAAAAGAATGTGAAGAAAAACTTAAATTATTTACACTCTTAATTTCTCAAGATGCTTGTCACTGCAATCTCCTTCTCTAATTTCACTTCAGATTTTCACAGAGTTGATATTCCTAGCAAATCAGCCCACAAAACAGACATTTTTCTAGGAATATAAAAACAGTAAGTGCAGGTATAGTTTTCTGAAGGTCCAGGATCTAATATTTTATCTTTCAGCAGGAAATTGGTCAGGACACGGTTCTTCAGAAACAGTTAGCAATCCTGATTAATAAATAATTATATGAAGACAGATTAACTCCAGAGTGGAATTCAGCATTTAAAGTTGTCTCTATAGCAGTTTTAGATGGAGACTTACATAAATATTTTCTAAATGGGGGCAGAAACCTTCTACCCATTTGATTATAGTTTGAGAACAAAAAGACAGAGTTGACAGTGGAAGACATATGTAAGGCACCTGTTTCCAGCACAATTTTTTTACTCACTTCTTCCTTCCTTCCCCCAAACAGCAGTAGCTGATGCAGCAAGAAAATAAATGAGTTTACAGAAAACGCTGCGTGTTCAGGGTGTATGGTTTATGAAAAGGCATTGCTTCCTGCCTGCTGTACAACACTTCCATCCAGCATGCAGGAAGAGCATGCCAACAAAAAATCCAAGCCCATGTAATGTGATTTTAAGAACATACACAGAGTGGCTCAGGAGAAGATGAAGCAATAGAAACTGCTTCTAACTTTTAAATCCCACTAGATTACAAATTGCCTATGACCTCTCTCAACACAGAAAATGTTGCCTTCTCCTTATAACCCACGACAATGTGCAGTTGTTGATCCTTTGTTTAGCCTCCTTCTATTACCATTTATTCAGAGTACATGTATCTATGTCAGAAACTATTCTGCAAAGAGCTCAAATAGGCTAATATGCTCTGATTTGTGCTGCCTCTCAGCAAGAATGGTGAAGAACTTTCTTGTACAGTGCCATTTTCTTCAGTTGTTCATTATCTGCGAAGTTCAGAGGGTTACTGACTACAAAACAAAGCCACATCTCTATATAAATCCTGCAATATTCACATTTGATTCCCATTTTAAAATAAGGTCTGGTACTAATTCAACACGGGAGCAAAACTTGTCACATTGATTTCAGCAGGACTTCCCATGTGCTACAAAGATAAGGGCATACTTGGGGGCCTTGCCCCAATACAACTGGTAATGAGGGAGGCGAGTACCAAAAGCAACTGTGCTGCCCAAGCAGAGCTTCAGAGTGTGCCAAAGCCAGCCCCGTGAGGGACACAAAGCTCAGCAGAGGCTGAAGGGAGCCTGCCACAGGACATGTGACTAGGCTTTCTCAGCTACTTCCTCTCAACACTGGTTTAATGGGTAACAAGCAGGTTCCATCAAAGTAAATTTCAGAATTTCAAGCCAGAAGTGACCACTAAATGACCTAGATTATCTTTCTCTTCCAAAATACCCTCCAGCTACCTCTACAGTGAGCACAGCAACTTCCGCCACTGCTTTTGATACAGAAAGCCATTACCAGATTTTATATCTCATCATGTATATCATGATCGAATGTCCCACTTAACAGTCATGGGTGCATTG